CAATGCACAAATCCCCAAAGTTACTCCAGAAATCAAGGTCCCCCATTCCAATTCCCACCACATAAATCTCAGCAAATGTGTCAAAAGTTTTTTTTAATGCAACAGAAGCACATATACAAGAAAGCAAGCCTTACCCCAAAATGCTTTTAAAGTCACAGCCCGAGACCCACCAGTGTTCCACACTATACTTCTCTTCTCAGTTACAGTCCCTGCCTTATCCCCTCCTCACTTCAACCACAGCCTCTTCCTGTGAGGAACATACTCCAGGGTAACAAAGATCTTCTAAACTAAAGGAAGAGTGGGAAGATACTAAAACATCTGCTAGTCTATGATACCGCTTAGATGACTTGATCTTCTTCAGTTTCCTACTTCGGATTCACAGCTTTTGGGAACTTTTGTTGTGAATGTTTTCTTGTGTCCTCTACATAGGAAAAATGAAGTGAGTCTCAAAACCCTTATTCACATCCTGCTTTTTCCAAAGGTGATTCGTGGACACCTAATAACCTTTTGATTAACTTAGATTTGGTTCCAGGTGATTTAAAGCAAAGAGCTGAAGAAGAATATAAAATAAACTTCAAACACAAAATGGAGTAGAAATGAACCTACAAAACTGCATTTTCTTGGCTACTGCTTCTGTTTTCAAACCCATGGCATTCCTCAGGAGGTATCTGCTTACTCTATAAGGCAGGCTTTGTAAAGCAATTATGTGCCACAAAAATGCTTCTGTTTTGGGTCTAACAAATATTGGAGTCCACAGAATCTCCTGGAGATTGTGATTTTGCAGTCTCACAAAGCAAACTCCTTATTCGGTAGTATAATCCTGATGCTTTGGGGATAGTTTATTTTCCCTTTCTTTTAGTCTATAAAAATGAGTTAATGTTTACTAAGCTAGTCTTAACTGTTTTCACACATAGGTAGTTAAAAACTGTCCGAGGAATGGAACTTTAGACACTAAGTGTTTTGCTCCCTTTTAAAAACTTTTTTGTTTTAAAACCGGGGGCACGGTTAGGATATAGAAAGAGCACTGGCTGATGGGGAGTTTGGAAACCTCTGTTCTATTCTCAGATGGATTCTTAATTATTTGTGCCTACAGCAAATGACTCCTCACTTTTCTAGCTTTCCTCACCTATATGTAATAAAGGGCAGTGCCTGTCACTTCCCTGTCTCACTCTAAAAACTATAATACAAAGCAGGGGTTTTCAAATGATGTTAGGTAGAGCAGGGAGGGTGCTCAGGGGCTGAAATAGGATGAGGGGCAGAAGGGAGGAAGGAGGACAAAGAGGAAGGCATTTCCTTTCCGTCAACTTGAATAACTCAGCTTTTATCTGGGATTTTTCTATATTTTAAATTGAAAAAGCATTTTCTCCTACCAAAAACAGAGTTGGAAAAGGATCTAGATGCTTCTGGGGTAAAGTGCTTATTTGAGTAAGTGAAAACGTACATTTGTGGATGGAACGTCAATCTCCAGAGAGGCCAAATGCAGTGCAAAGTCCTTTAATAGTCTCTGTCAGCGTACCTACCCCTGGCACTTACGCAGCCTTGGCACAAATTCCCAACAACAGCTGGAAGTACTGGGACGGTCTGAAGACATTTCACCTCCTTACCTCAGTCCCTGCTATTCTCATGGCCACCCCACAGTTCATTAAGATACCGAGTCTTCTCTTCTCTTGTTTTCATGACATCTTTTTCTTGTTTTTCTCCCACTATAGTTAAAGCAGAGCTGGGCTAACCTAAATTTAAACCCCAGAGCCAACACTTATCACAAGTGTGACTTTGAGCTAATGAGACAATCACTCTGAACTTCAGATTCCTTATCTCTTATGTGAAGATAATCGCGTCACCTTGATTGCAAGAATAGTATAAAGTATACAGTGCCCTTGCACATAATAGGTGCTCTTTCCTCTGAAGCACTATTCTTTTTGTTTTTTCCTTTGCTTTCACATTTAATCAAAGGAAAAGAAAGAAAACCAGTCAGAGAGAAAGCCCAGGAATTGGATGGCTGAGGGAGGGAAGGGCAAATGGGCTCAGACTGAGTGTGGACAGTGGAGGACAGGGGCCTCATTATCCCGAGGTCCCTCAAATATAAGTGTCCATGGTGGGAGGAGGAAGGACAGAGTCAGAGCTAACTTGGTGGGCACACATGCCTGTTCCCTAGAGTGGGGCTTATGCAGGGGAGACAGCACACTGTTCAGAGAAGGATGGAGACAGGAGGGGGCCAGCCCTGTCCCCTGGGCATCACTAGAGGTGAAGGTGCCAAAACAGCATCGACACTGGAGATTTACCCTAAAGGGCTACATGCCAACTTCCCAGCAAGGTGTCCAGCTCCTCTGACCACCATCTTTTGGTCAGAGGGCTTTAGGGGTTACCCAAGGGGAAATGAATGGCTGCAATAGCAGATCCTTTGCTACTTTCACTCCAAAGTCCCCCAAATGTGGTGAGAACTGGCAAAGTCCATCATGGCCTCAGACCGGCAGAACACCCCATTTTCCTCCTGCTCCCAGTGCCCTTGGGCTGAGGGTGAGGGTGATGTAAGAGCTGAACTAAAGATAAAAAAAGGCTGACCAAAGGGAAAGGAGAAAGATAAAGATGCCTGCCTAGTGGATGCGGAGCTGGGAGAATGAGATGGGAACAATCCTGACTTTGACATCTCATTTGCATATCCTATGCAAATGCAACGAGATCCCCAATATAATAAATATATTTCTGACTTTGTAGTATTCTATTTCTTCTCCTTCCCCTTCCCTAGGAAATGGGCACACAGTGGTTCACGGCGAGCGTGGGCTGACTCTGCAGTGAACATGGATTTCACATTCAGAAGAATTGGGAAGCACAGGGGCTGGGGTGGTCCCTTGCAAGGAGCTTGCCCCAGGAAGGATCACAAGAAGGATGAGAGATGAGATCCTTGGGGAAGTTGAGGACAACTTTCTCTTCTCAAAAGGGATTCTCCTGTTTTACACAATTGCCCTCCCCAAGGACTGGAGAGTGCCATTTAAGGACAGGAGACAATGGGAGAGCTGGGAGAAGGCATGTGGGAGGGCCAAGGCTCTAGAATCTGGGATAAGGGTCTCGTAAGACATGGGGACTGGTGGGGAACCCTGAAAAGGGGGCCCCAAAGAGCCCAAACATTATTCTTATCCCTGTTCTCTGGTCTGCTTTCCCTGGGTTATGATATCATATCCTCTCATTCGAAGTCTAGCCCTAGCTCCTAAAACTACCTAGTCCCAAACTCATACTGTTGGACATTTCGTCTTAGGTACTCACTAGCATCTCAAGATAAACATGTTCCAAAATGACATTTCTCACATTCTCTGATTTTAAACATATCTGCTCTTCTGCCATACTATTCTGTAACTGTTGTTTATAAAATCTAAGATACACCTTCAGTTCCTCTGATAAGCTGACAGGTCCTATATACTCCATCTGAGTGCCTCATAAAGTCATTACCTTCCTTCTAATCCCACTAATATCATCTCATATTCTTTACACTTTCCTCCCGGATTCCAAATTTTATAAATTATCCACTACTGCCCTTGAGCAGAATACTGGCCCTGTGTTCTTACCTCCAACTCAAAACCCTACAGTGGCTCCCCATGGGGTACTGAATGAAGTCCAGATGTTATCAGCCACATATTCGAGATGCTCTAATGTGAAGTTGAACTATTCTTTCATCTTTCTCTTCCACTATTATGGTTATTCAAATTGGCCTACATAAGGGAGTACGGTCAGTAATATTGTAATAACCATGTACTGTGCCAGGTGGGTTCTGACCCCTTTGTCAAGTATGATTGTCTGACCACTATGCTGCACACCTGAAACTAATATAAAATAATATTGAATGTAAACTACAATTGAAAAAGACCCCAGCCTATGTACGGTTCCTATATATGGCCCATGCTTTCCTGTATCTTTGCCACTGCTCACACTGTTTCTTCCAAGGTAATGCCTTGCTCTCCATCAGCCAAAATCTTTCAAAGGCTATGTTACAAAGGCCAGCTCAAAACCCACTCACCTCTCAATGAAGTTTTTCTGCTCCCCTGATCCAGAAATAACCTTTCCCCATCCCAACTCCCATACAGCTTGGTTGGTATTATTCCCCTAAAATGGATAATTTTTCTTCCTTGTGTTATGACTATTTTTTGAATTTTATTTCCTCTAAAAGACTGCTAAGTATGACCGTGTCTAATTAATTTTTGTCTCCTCTAAAGCCCTAGCACAGGGCCTGGCTTCGAAGTAGGATATTGGTAAACAAAACAAAACAAAAAACTTAAAAAAGGAGGGAAGGCCAGCAGTAGATAAGTTTATTAAGAGTATCAGCCCAAGGAAAACCTTTCTAAAAAATACATGTTACAAGATGTCTCCTGCTGATAACTCCATCAAGGCAATCACTATAAAGATTACAAACATTTTATCTGGGGATGTTTAAAATCAACTCTGGGATCTGAGCATCTCTCAGTTAAAATCAATCCAAAGACATGTTCCCTTTAGCTGCCCTACTTCATTAGATACAAATGCGGCAGCGCTGCAGTAGAGAGCATCTGACTGCCATCATCCAAAACCCTAAACTGTGAGGGGTTTTCTGGGCCCCACATGCCACGGGTCTGCTGGTGGTCTTGCTCCATGACTCTACAGTCATAGCAGAGGGCAGCACATTCCTCATGTTATCAGGTAGACGAGCTGTGGGAGGTTAAGTCACTCCTGCATGAGGCTCCCTGTCCCCGTATGTCCCCAGGAAACTCTAGGTTTAAGACGAAACTAGGAACATCCCCAGATCACAGCGCCAACTGCAGTTGTAAAGTGGTTGGTTTTCTCACATCATACGGAGTTTTACTGGGTCTAAAGGAGAGTCACCGAGGGACGAGGCTAAACTAAATTAAACTAAGCCCAAGTACTAGAAGGCAATGCCCTGAACATTATTACAATAGATTTCCCACGGTAAACTTCTAAATTAACTGTCTTGTTAATAAATTACTCTTTCCAGAAAGACAAAAGTGAATCAATACCTTGGGACCAGGACACTCCTAGGACAAGCTGTAAGCTGGACTTCTAAATGTGTAAACCTTGGGTTTCTCGAGGTTGGACATGATAATTTCTTCTGCAGCCCCTTCCAGTCTTAGAATATTCTATGACTCTAGAAATTATTAGAAATAACAAGATTTCAGTAAAGTACCTAGTTACAATATAAATTTACAACTAAATAGCCTTTCTAGATACTTATAATAATAAAAAAATGAGGAAAGTAACATTTATTTTTTAAATTAAAAAGAAGATTTTATTTATTTTTTAGAGAGAGGGGAAGGGAAGGAGAGAAACATCAATGTGTGAATCATCAATCAGTTGCCTCTCACAGGTCTTCAACTGGGGACCTGGCCAGCAACCCAGGCATGAGCCCTGAGCAGGAATTGAACTGGTGACCATTTCGTTTGCAGGCCATCACTCAACCCCCTGAGCCATACCAGCCAGGGCAAAAAAATGGGGGGAAGTACCATTTAAACAGCAACAAAATTCAAAATAATTAGTAATAGAACAAAAGGGCCTTTTTCAAGCCCTCTTTGCTAGAGCTAGCTGGACCTCATAAAGTAGGGGTCCCCAACCTCTGGGGTGCAGACCACTACAGGTCTGGGCCTGTTAGGAACCAGGCCGCACAGCAGGATGTGAGCTTGAATGTCAAGCGCTTAAATCATCCCAAAACCATCCCCCCACCCCTACTGTGGAAAAACTGTCTTCCACAAAACTGGTCCCTGGTGCCAAAAAGGCTGGGGACTGCTGCCATGATGGATGACTTTTGTTTCATGGTTTCATGAGCCTCTACCCTGAGGGTTAGAAAAATACTGGAGGCGCCCTGAAGGCGCAGAGCTTCTGGGGACTTACGAAACAGGACAGGCCAGACCGTCGTGACTCTGTGCCCAAAGATAACATCGAAACAAGCTGCAGCCTACACAAGACCAACTGAAACATCCTGCTCTACAGCCACCCCAATCACCTCATCAAAGCTCAAAGCCCCTACATCTCGCTGCTGGTGTGTGTCTTCAAACTAAGCCCCTCTCCCCTCCTAGAGAGTGAATAAAAAACTTTACTCTCTGCACTTTCTTCTCTTTGTGAATCTCTCCACTGCCTGTGCCCCCAATCACCCTAACAACTAGAAATAAGCCTAAAAATAAGTGTATAGATATATATGAGAAGTCACAAAATTTTACTGAGGACCACAGAAGGTCTGAGTAGAGAAATATGTTCCTGGGTGGTTACTGGTATCTGATTCTGCCCTGTGCCCTTAACAGCTCCCTCTCCATGCAGTGTGCTCTTAGAATGTGCCGTTGTCTGAGGGTATCTTTATAGGGTTTGTGTTCAAAACCTGCTCCACTGCATCCACTAGGATGGCTACTATTTAAAAAACAACAACAACAACACCAACACCAGAAAATAAGTGTTGGCAAAGATGGATAAATTACAACTCTGGTGCACTGTTGGTAAAGTGTAAAATGGTACCATTTTTATGAAAAACAGTGTAGCAGTTCCTCTAAAAACTACAAATAGAATTACCATATAATTCAGCAATTCCATTTCTGGGTGCACAGCCAAAAGAATTGAAAACAGAGGCTTGAATAGATATTTGTCCACTCATGTTCATGGCAGCATTATTCACAAAAAGCTAAGAATCAGAAGCAACTCGAAGGTCCATTGATACATGAATGGATACAAAATATAGTATATACAATGGAATGTAATTCACAATTTAGAAGGAAGGAATTTATGACACCTGCTACAACACAGACAAACCTAAGAACATTATGTAAAATAAATAAGCCAGTCACAAAAAGATAAATACTGAATTATTCCACTTATATGAGGCACTTAGAGTAGTCACATTCATAGAGACAGTAAGAAGAACGCTGGTTGCCAGGGCTGGGGCTGGGGGGAGTGGCGAGTTGATGGGTACAGAGTTTCCATTTTGCAAAATGAAAAGAATTCTGGAGGTGGGAGGGGGCGATGGTGGTACAACAATTTGAATGCACTTAATGCCACTGAACTGTACATTTGGAAATGGTTAAGATGATAATGTTATGTGTATTTTACCTCAAATCTTTTTAAATTAAAAAAAGTGTTCTATCAATAATTTTGTCTGTTTCCTGTTGCTGGTCTTTTGATTCAGTGAGGCCCATTTCGGTCCTCTGCCTACCCTCCTGCTTTTAAGTCAACCTTTCTGACAGACCTTTGTCTCTGTCTGGAAATGCATGAACCCCTCAACATCCACCTTTGCCCAGACTGCAGTTCTCCTTTTCCTGGAACTCTCTTGTCAGCCCGCTTTTAAAAAAATCCAACCCTGCTCCTAACACCCCCAGAATTTGGTGCATTGCTCACTTCTGAAGAAAGATCAGAGCAATAAAACACACAATTCTAGAATACAGACTACCTGTATGTGCCCCAAGTATAACTTTGAACTTAAATGTTGTTCGGTGTATATAAAAAGCTTGAGAAACAATGTTTATGAACAATTTCTGGAAGGATATACACCTTATCCACTTCTTGTGATCAGTTTGCTTGCTTATTTTTGTTTTCTAAACCAAGGCTTGCTCATTAGCTGAGCTCTGGGAACTATGTAAACCTTTAGAAAATGTCTACAAAGACCTGTGCATTTTGCCCTGGCTGGGTGGCTCAGTTAGTTGGAGCATCACCACACACACCAAGAGGCTGCGGGTTCCATCCCTGGTTGGGGGCGTGTTCGGGAAGCAACCAGTCAATGTTTCTCACATTGATGTTTCTCTCCCTCTCCCTCGTCCTGTCTCTCTCTGCCTCTTCCTCTCTCTCTGAGGATCAATGAACATATCCTTGAGTGAGGACAAAAAAACAAAAACCCTGTACATTTCTTTTTTCAGGGAAGAGGTCCTAAGCATTTAGAAGATTCTCAATATGCTCTGTTTCTTTTTTTTAAGGTAATATCTCTCTATATACTCTAAAATTTGTTCTTCCTTAGATTGCGACAGCTCATCAAAGCTTTGCCTCAGCGGCACTGACCTGCTCCAAGCTCAGAACAGCTTTCACGAAACAATGCTTTGGCACTGTGCCAACAGCCTGCATTGAAGAACATTAAAGGAAACAGCTTCAGCCCTAAAAAATGTGCTGATTCCGTCAGGAGACAAGAACAGATTTTGAACAAGGCTAAAAAGAATAAAATTCCCTTTAGAAGCATTAGAGACAAATTGAACACGAGTACTAAAAGCCTTACCTTGATAAACTCAAGCATGGGATTTGGATAACCAGCAATGCAGACATAAGTGGCATTATCTGTATAAATGTATATAGCATCTTACATATACATTGAGTATAATAAGTTTTTAAAAAGGTTCCAACTACATAAGGTATGATGTGAAATTAAAAAAAAATATCTCTTTTCTCAGTCTCAGGATAATTATTTTATGTAACCCTCACACTCCTCTATTCAGCTAATATCCACCCATTCTTCAAAGCTCAGCATTTAAAATTTTAACAAATGTAGGTCATGTAACTGATTTTGTTTCACTAAACCAAACACAACCTCCTCTCCTCTTCAAACACATAGATACACAGTCTTGGTAAGTCCCATAGCTTTCTTATTATTTTTCAAATTACTTAAAAGGATGTCCACAAAGAGCTAAGACAGGTTTTTCCTCTGTTGGGGAGAACACTCCATAAAGCAGTCAACAGTCATTTGGTTGCAATTACGTGGAAAGTTGAGTTCTAGGCCTTCGTAGAAAGTCCAAGCTTTTGTCAAAATAACTGCAGCAGAAACTAACTGATATTAATGAGACAAATTATGATACTAAGGATGCAAACGTGTATGGTTGGGACTGGAAAAATGAGTTAGATCTCTACAGAAAGGGCGGCATATTCAGCAAAACTCTACCGATTGTCTTAAGCTCACATGGAAAAAGGAGGGGAGGATGTCGAGAATGTTCAAATCATAATTCATCTTCCTGTAATATCAATAATCCTAATTAAATCAATTAGCCAGTGGAAGTCTCTCTTGGACTATTCCTACTTCCCCTCGACATTTCACAGATGAGAAATAATCTCACTTTTAGCTTTTGCTAAAAACACTCCCACCATTGTTATCATAGCAGACCATTGGCTTTCTGTTTTAAAGAACTTCAAAATTAAATCACCTGTCTGCCTCAAGACTTCGGGTAGAACATTCCTCTCACTGTCCTCTAGAACATTCCTCTCACTGTCCTCTAAAAATAACACTCAACCATTACTCTCAAATGTGAATTAATACCATCTGTGGTAATAAGCACTTTTGATAATAATCTCAAGTTTAACTTTATAACTTTTTTTTCTTCACACCTTTAGAGCAAAAAGTTAAGCCACATTCAGAGAGAAGTCAAGTCTGTGTCTTGCACCAAGAAGCCTCTTGGACATCCAAAATCGTAAGGAGTTTCTTGGTGGGCTTCAGTTTAATCTTTTGAGGAAAGCTGAGAACACAAGGGGTCAATTTCTTGGCTTTGTGAGTAGAACATGGTACAGTGTAGTACTAAGCGAATACCATTACTGATTGCTGAACTATGGGTATCTCAGCAGATATAAGCTGAGCACTTACCTGAAATATAAAGTTTTATGTATTTCATTTCAGAGAAACACCACCTAAGAATAAAACAAAAACTCCTTGTCAGTCCAGGTCCTGATGACATAATAATACCCACTATTTATCAAAAGCTACTGTGCGCTGGACGCTTCACTATGTGCTTTACATAGATCATCTTGTTTCATTTCCACTAAAACCTGGGCTTAGAGAGTATTATTATTATTATTATTACTACAAATGAAAAACCTGGGACTTGAGAAGATTAAGTGGTCTGCCCAGGGTCCTACAAGCTGGAAGTAGCAGAGCTACAGTGATAGAGTTGAATCGCTGCTGGCCTGACTACTCTTGACGACTGTGTTATCACTTTTACAGACTTGGCCCCAGATGAAGAGATGAGTGTGAAGTGGGTTTCTAGAGCAGTAACTGAGAACTGTGGTCAAATGCCATGGTTCAGAAGGCATATGATTTTAAGCCTTAAATGCCCAGATGCTCCTCTTGGGCAGATCTGGCACTGAGCTCAAGGGGAAATCCATTAATCTGCTGTCCCAACATATCAGAATCCCCTATTTATAATACCTTAGACCCACAACCTCTTGGAACAATCTTTCCCAAAAGTGTGGTCCACAGACTGACTGTTTCAAAGACACATGGAAAGTCCTTGCAAAAAAACACAGACACCTGGCTTCCTTGGATGTAGAAGATCGGACTCTCGGGAGCGGTGCGGGGGGGGGGGGGGGGGTGTCAACAAGAATTTTAGACTACTCACCACCTTGAGGCAAAACAGCTGGGGTAATCAGAAGGAACTGAATGGAAAGCTAACTCCCAGGGTCAGACAGGTGTTAAGAAAAACACAGAACAGATCTTGTGAGAGGCATAGAGTTATAACATTGTTTTGGACCTGTAAAATATTTTAAAAATTATTCCAATGGTTTTCTAACAGTACTCCATGAAGCATGAGTTCCAAATGGGACACGGAAAAAGGGCTTGGCTGTTGGGGCTTAGTATCTTAAAACAGCAACTGCTCTACTGGTATGCATGCTGCAACCTGGACTTTTGTGTATGATTTCATCAGTAACTAAGTGGTCTTGTTCATTTAAGAAATGCAGGACCTAAGCTGCATACAGGGAATTAAAAAAAAAATCTCAAGGCCCAGAATTTTTCCCAGGCTAATTAAATCAAATTTATGGGAGTGGGTTCCAGACATCAGTATTTTTCAGTACCAGGTGATTCCAATGTGCAGCCAATCCCTGTACCAATCTGATCTCTGCTTCCTCATTTGAGACAAAAGGAGACGAAGACACAAAGAATTTAAAGAAAATCAGGACTAAAACTAGGATCCTTCACTTCTAGCTCACTATGCTGAGTTCTCTCTCCACAATTCATTATGAACTAATTCTTTCTCTGAGATAGAGAACATCTGAATCAAAACCGTTATGTAATTTCACATTTATGGAGCTCTCCAGACTTTTAAAGAGTACTTACTACACATTCTCTCTCTAAATTCTTATAAAGACACTAGAAAGTAGACAGGGCATAACTTATTAGATCTGTCTTGGAAATCAGGAAATCAGAGTTCAATTAAATGAACTCATAGTGGCTGAGAGGTAGTCTTTATCTAACTTCAGGATTAATTAGTTTTGACAAGTGTTTATTGAGTGTGTAGCACGTACTGTTGTTAAGACATGGTCAAAGATGCAGAAGTAGCCCTGGGTAGTGTGGCTCTGGATTGAGCACCAGCCTTTGGGCCAAAGGGTCACTGGTTCAGTTCCTGGTCAGGGCACATGCCTGGGTTGCAGGCCAGGTCCCCATTTGGGGGCACACAAGAGGCAACCACACATTGATGTTCTCTCCCTCTTTCTCCCTCCCTTCCCCTCTGTCTAAAAATAAAATAAAATCTTTAAAAAAAGATGCAAAAGTAAGTAAGACATCATCCAAGTCCCCAATTAGTATACAATCTTCTTGGAAAGACAGAGACAATTAGAATACTGCACTACCTGGCTTATCCCTTGGACTAGCAGAAGCTGGAAACCTTCCTCAACTGGCCTTGATGGGTAAGATCAAGTCTCTCCAAATTGAGTCTACAGCTTCTAATTTCTTCATGATTATGGATGGCTATTGAACCCGAGGGATCTGTATATAGTTACTGTGTCTCTAGGTAAGGCTGTGGAGTTGGAAAATCCTTGGTAGTGGTAGAGAAGAAAGAAAGATGCAATTTCGGTGAGGTTCACTTAATACTCTCCAAAGGCAAGGATATGACTCAGGAGAAGACTGGGAGATTCCAAAACAAAGAAATGAGTGGGTAAGTGTTGGGAACCACCCTGCCTGGTTTCAGAAGCTGTAACCCCCCCGCCCCCGCACCTTGCCCCCCATGGCTAAGGCTAAGTGGGCAACCTTTGGACCAGAAGCCACTAAGGAGACAAAGCATATTTCCCTGGCAGAAGTACTGCTTCTGCTCCTTTTACTTCACCCTGCCTGGCCCCCAAATGGTGGACCAGTGATGGGTAAGATTCCCCAAGGGGGAAACAACCTAAGACAGGCATGATCACAGGAAAGACTTGGGGGGCTATAGCAAAAGGGGGTGTTGTACCCTTGCCCCTCAGCTTTGACATAGCCTGAGTCCTCATTCGGTCTGCAACAAGTCTCCTAATCTCTTGGCTGCCTTACTTCCCCTGCCTGACTTAAGCCTGAAACAATGCTGGTGGTGGGTGTCACCCTGTGCTGGAAAGGGCAGGTTCCCTAGGGCAATGAGGCCTAAGAAAGAATATGTAAAATCCTGTGAAACCTGCTTTGTTTAGAATGCTCTCAATTAAATGATAAGGGTCCAAGCAAGTGAGTTTGTTCCTCAAAGTTTTATGGCTCTTTAGCTATCTGACCCTGACTCAAAATAGGCCCTCAGAGTTCTTTGTATGTTATCTATTGTTTGATCTTTACTGCCTGATGATTAATGAGCTTTACCTGTATTCCTGTTCAAAAGGAACCTAATAAAAGCCCATCAAGGAAAAGGTTCTTGGCCTTTTTCCTTCGAGAGATAGGCCACCTTTCCTCCCCAAGCAGATCCTGTCTTGGTAGCCTTATTCTCTCCATGGGGGGCAGAGGGCCCTGCTGGTGGAGCCCCCCACGGGCAAGAAAGAGTATTTACAGAAATAATTATTTCCTTTTCACAGCATTTTAATAAACGGACAGCTTAGAATTTTTGTTGTTGAAGATGACTATTGCACACCAAAGGGGAAAATAACATGTAGAAAATATGTATTTATAATTTGGAATGGTGGAGGTCACAGATGAACACGAGTGTTCCAAGACAACTTTTTCATAAGGAATTAATTCATCAGACATTGCAAAATGTTGCTATCCAGATTGTACTATATAAAAAAATAATAGAACCAGGAACCCATGTTTTATTTATAGACTAAAAAAATTAGCCAGGAATAGTCTAGCACACCTGTTCTCAAACTTTAGCACACATCAGAATGACCTGAAAGGCTGGGCCCCACCCTGAATTTCTCATTCAACAGATCTGTGATAGGGCCCAATAATTTACATTTCTTACAAATTCAGGCGTTGCTGATGCTGTTGGTTGAAGTCCCATACTTCTGGATTATTCACAAGACACGCTCACATTTGTTAACAACTTAGTTACCTCTCTATTATGGACTTTGTAGTGATACTCATCCCACCGACCTAATGGCCAAAAATAAGACTAAATAAGAAAAGAAAAACCTACTACTGTTACAAAAACAGACAAGGGGGGCCTGGGACAATATACTATTATTGAAAGAAGGCCCCGGGTCCATTATGTCCGCCGCCAGAGGAAAGACGTCTCTCAATGCCAGAGATTCGTGAAAAGGAAAGGAAATGTTTATTTAATGCTATACAGACTTCAAGTAGTGACCTAATGTCTTTATCAAAAATCCTAAAGTCCCTAAAAACACCCACAAACACACAGTCCTTCCTTCCTTCCCTCTTTGCCCAGTCCAGAGTACCGTATCTCAGGAAAGGAAATAGAAGTCCATGGCTCAGGCAGTCCTCTGGTTCTTAGTTAGTCCTCCATCTTGACTGGGAGACCTCCCTGGGTTCTGGGCACCCTCGGCTGAGTCGCTGGGATCTCTGCTAAAACCAGGTGGTGGTTCCCCTTCTAAAGCTGTGGGGGTCCCCACTCTGTCCAGGCCGCGTGGTTCTCCCTCTCTCAGGGATGCGGGAGTCTTCACTTTGCTAAAGCTGTGTGGCCCTCTCTACAATGGCCGTGATCCTCTCTGCACCTCCACAGCCACATGGTTCTCTCTCTCCTAAAGCAGCATGGTTCTCCTCCTCAGGGCTGTGCGTGGTTCTCTCCCAATGGCTGAGGTCCTCCCCATTCTGCTAAAGCCGCATGGTTCTCTCTCTCTGGGATGTGGGAGTCTCCACTCTGCTAAAGACGCATGGTTCTCCCTCTCAGGGCTGCTCATGGCTCTCCTTCCTAAAGCAGCATGGTTCTGTCTCCTAAAGCAGCATGGTTCTCCCCCCTCTCAATGGCCGAGGTCCTCCCCATTCTGCTAAAGCCGCATGGTTCTCCTTCTCAGGGCTGCGCATCGCTCTCCTTCTCAAAGCAGCATGGTTCTCCTTCTCAGGGATGCGGGAGTCTCCACTCTGCTAAAGACGCATGGTTCTCTCTCTCAGGGCTGCGCAGGGTTCTCCCCACCCTAAATGGCCACCAAGTCTGGGTTTTAAATCCCTGCAGCCAATCTTCCTCTGCAGCCCCATTTCCGACTCCTCCCACACTCGGCTTCACATGCCAGAACTCGTATCCTTCCAGGTTTACTGGGCTGCCATCATGAGTCTGGGCAGGTGTGGCCCCATGTCCTGGAGCCAATCTTCTCTGAGCTCCCATGCAGGCGCTGTAGCTTGGGGGATCTGCCCCCAGTCACGTCTTGGTGGGGAAGTTACTTCCATCCCCCTGGCTCAGGGCATGGCCACAGCTATTTAACATATCTAAGCGACCAGCCAAAGGCTATAGATATGTTAAATGACCATGCCAGAGGGTAGCTGCAAGGCTGTTGCTATGCAAAACAGCTCTCAATGG